GTCTGGTAGTGTTTCCTGATGATAGCCATCTGGGTGGGTGGGTGGTGCCTCACTGTGGTGACTGATGAGTAATGTTGCTGACCGCCCTCTTGTATGCTTATTGGCCGTTGTAGATCCTCTGTAGTGGAGCAGTGTGGGTTCGAGGCCTTTGCCCGTTTTTCAGTTGGGCTGCTTGTCATTCTGAGGTCCTCTGACCCTGAAAGCTGACCTGGTCCCACAGGACCAGCCAGGATTCTGGGGCTGGAGGTGACAGAAAGGCTGCATCACTTCACTGTGGACATACTGTGAAAGGTTCTGGCCAAGGGCTCGTGGTCAGGTTCTGAGATGGGACGAGACCCTTTGTAGCTCTGTTTGACTCCTCAGCCCCCAGCTCTTCTGCCAAATAAGTGGATCCTGTTTGTTTTGTTCAATTTTTTTCTTTTTTCCAATGAAAATATGCACAAAACATACCCCCTTCAGTGTCCACATGTACGACTGAGTGACATCAGTGACTCCAGGTTATGCCACCTCGTACGGTAATCAGTAACCTCCCGCAAATGGACTTGCCATCTTTCACGAGAACTCTCTGCCCCTCCTCAAGCCTCTCGGCCCCTTCTAGTTGCTGTTGTCAATTTGATCACATGTGGGTAACTCTTTAGAAGTGATCTGATGGAGGATTTGATGATAGAAGAGTCTCCAGGGTGCTTCTCAGAGGCCAGGACAGTAAAACTTCATTTCACATACTTCATTTAGGGGGGCCCCCGTCCTTGGGAAGAGACATCATGCTGGGAAGGCGGGGAGTCAGGAAAAGAGGAAGATCCTTAAGATGTGACACGGACTGCAACAGAGGCTGCGGAGATGTCACAGGCCAGGGCAGAGGGTCAGCTCTGCGGTCCAGGGGTCACTATGAGTCAGAGCTGACATCATAGCCCCTGCAAAACAACGCCTACTGAATGCAAACATTCTTTCTTAGGCTAAAATACAGTTTTGCTCAAAGATGACTTCAGGTGATAATTTTGGTTCAAGATATAATTTCTTCAGGACTGTAGGTTCGGGGTTCACCAAGCCTCCATGGCTCTAGAAAGTCTGCATTCCAAGAGAATTTGAATTTTTTTGTTTCACATTTCACCCCTTTTGATCAGGATTATCAGGCCTTTGTTCTAAGTGCTCAGTCATGACATCTGGGCACTGTCCAGTTCTGGACTCGTGTTAGGGAAGGGGAGGGAACACGTATTCCTCCACCAATTCCTGACTCTCCTTCCTCGGGTGTGCCAGGCATGGATGGAGATGGTGCTACTTTTTTCTGATGAGGTTTCTGGAGGTACCTCACCAAAGCAGGAACTGAGGCCAGTGGTCCAGCCAGCCTCTGTAGATAGGAAGGAAGTGGGCGGGGGTTTGGGGCTGATTCAGCAAGACTTGTAGGGGGCAGGGCTGGAATTCCCCTAACTCCCCTACCTCGCCCACAAGCCATTCTGCTGGGGCCTCAGCGGCAGAAGAGAAACTGGATGTGACCCCAGAGGTGTGGGGGCTGCTGTGTAAAGCACCCCGTCAGTCACCAACAAAGTGGGTGGGGCTTTACAAGACCTCAGGGGAGACCACACCCCAGCAGTGTACCTGCCCCCACGTTAGCCTCAGGGACCCCTTCACCCAGTTGCCAAAGGCGACTCCTTTTGGTTCTATATGCCTTGCCCCACCCCCACTTCCACCCCACCTGGGTGGGGAGAGAGTGAGGGGGCAGCCTGGGTGGGCTTGGGTCACCGTGCTGGCCTGGGTGTCCTGTGGGCAGTGAGGCTTGGGCTCTAAGCTCCATGAGCTCATGGAAAGAGGCTATGGGGTCTCAGGCCCCTGGGGGAGTCTCTCCCAGGGAGAGTGGGGGCTACAGAGTGGAAAGGGCTGCTGGCTGGGCCCATAAAGGGTAACATCCTGGGGCCCCAGGGCCCATGGCCATGCTGTGGCCCCTGACCAGGCGCTGACATCAGCTCGACCACAGATGGAAAATTCCATTTGGTCAGTGCCAGCTGCTGATCAGACAGTTCCCATGCTGCTTCTGAATGAGTCCAGGAAGAGATAGTCAGACCGCTCTGGGAGCAGAGCCAGGACAGGGGGCAGAATAATACTGGCCAGGCCTAGCTTTCTTGGTACCCTGGGCAGAGGACATGGAGTCCCTCAGCCTGGCCTGGCCCCTTCTGACAAGCAGGCTCTTTGTCACATCACTGGAACTGGGGCTTCTTCAGGGTAACCCTTGCCTCTCTGAGCCTCAGTATACTCATCTGCAGAATGGGCACATGTGTCACCTTTGTTCTGGGGCCGCTTCCCTCTGCCCAGAACTTGGAGCTTACCCCAAGTTAAAAGGTGACCAGGGCGGTGCACAGAAGCCTTGACTTGGAAACCAGGCTAGGGGAGGTGGGGTGGTCCTCAGTAGGTGTCCTGAGAGAAAAGTACAGAAGGACCCAGCACACAGGTGGGGTGTGCTTCTCCTCAGCCATGGGGAGCTGCCTAGATGGGCAGGGCAGTGGGAGGCAGACCAGGGGCCTTGTGTACCTCTCAGCCACTCCCAGAGGCTCCAGTGGTTCCCGTTCTTGGGTGTCCTGAGCTCCTAAGCCAGGTCCTCCCCCGCCTGAGCTGGGCTGGGAGTCCTTTTCCCTGGGGAGGTGGGGACAATGTGGATGCCACCCCTGGAGTACCAGTCACCATCGTGCTTCTGTTTCCAGCTCTTACCCACAGCACACTGTCAGGGAGGCCCTGGCCACCGGCTCCCATCTGGCGGCTCCTGCCGCTGCCCGTGTACCTGTGTATGCATGACCCTACGTGTGTGCGGCTGCCCAGCGGGAGAGAGAGGGCAGTCGGCTTCCGTGGAGGTTTACAGCCTTGGAAACTCTATGGACTGTTCACCTCTGTCCCACAAGGTCATTGCCAGTCAGAGTCAAGTCAACAGCCATGGGTTTTTGTGGAGTTTTTACAGTCTACTGTTTTGATCCGCGGATAGGTGTTAGCTGCTGAATGAAAGGTGAAAGACGAGCCAATCCACTGGACGAAGATGAGGCAGTCTGCTTTGCCCACACTTAGAAAGTCAAAAGGCAGCATTTGCCCAAGAATAAGACTCAGGAGACAGGAAAGGATTAGTGGAAATGAGCATCACAGGGTGGAGAGGGAAGAGTGCGGTTCCAAGGTGGGTGTTGTAATTCATGTTTTAGAAAAGAATCTGAGTTACGGAATGGGGAACCAATTTGCTTTGTAAACTTTCATTCAAATAAGTAAAAAATATTTATTAGCGAGCGAGAAATATTTCATAGCCTTGGAAACTGGTGCCGTTCTCTATCCCGTGAGGTCTCTGTGAGTTGGGATGGATTTAGGTGACACCCACTCTGTGTGGGCCTGAGTTGAGCTTGTCGGTTCAGGGACAGCACTCAGGGTGAGTCCGGCTTTGATCTAGCCTTGACCCTGAGTCCCACCATGAGACACCCTGAGGGTCCTGGCTTGATCCCCTGGGTGACCGTCCCTTGGCTGAGCACCCTGGGGCTGTCTACCCCAGCTGGGGCCAGGGCCTCAGGGGTCCCACATCAGGGCCCTCCTGTGAGTGCAGAGGAGCATTTTAGGGGGCTGAAGCAGTGGGGAGGTGGAGCTCTGGGGGCCCTGTGCTGCTGCCCTGCAGGGGAGTAGAGCCCCAGGCTCCACACAGCACCTCAGTACCCCACATGCCCACACCGCCAGGCTCCCACTGCCCATGCTGGCCGAAGATAGACCCCATTGGTGCTGATGGGTGGAGCGGGAGAGGACCCCTGGGAGGGTCAGGAGGGCCCTCCTCCCGCTGCCTGGCAACCATTTCCTGGGAGATGGCCCTCTGGGTTCCTGGCTACCGTGGAGGCTGGCTCCTATCCCGCGGGGAGGAGGAGGCTGAGCTGGGGTGGGGGCGGTGCTGGGCTCCAGGCTCAGAGCCAGGACTACTGGGACTCAGGCGTGGGAAAAAGGGTTTGGGGCCAGAAGAGGGGCACCTAGGGGCCTGTCAGCCTCAATGCCCACTGGGATTGATGGCCCCTGACCTGGTGGTCCCTGCAGGCACGAGAAGAGGCCAGCAGGACAGGGCCAAGATCATGGCATGGCTGCATAATGGGAAGGGTGGTATGAAACCTAGGGCTATGAGATTGAGGGGTGAGTCTCCCCCCACCTGCCTGCCTCTGAGGCTGAGAGCGGGGGGAAGGTGCCAGGAAGTGTGCGGCACCCTCCTGAAGGGGTGCCCTGTGGGGAACAGATGGTCCAGGGGGACACTACTTCGCAGGAGGGGTTACTCAGGCTGCCTCCTTTCTGGTCTCCTGTGTCCTGAGGCATAGAGGGGCAGGCCTGACCTAGATGTGTTGTGTAGGCCAAGTGCACCACCCCTATAGGATTCCACCATGATCCCCAAGTCCTGAGGACAGCTCCTCCCAGTACCCAGGCAAGACAAGGGCAGGAGTGCGGTGTCCACTGGAGCTGGGAACAGTGCCCCCAGTGTGAATGCACACCTGGTCACACTCCTGCAGCAGTGAACCCCCCTTTTCTCTTATCCACAAGAGAGTGCTAGGCGGACGCCCCCATGGCTCCCACCTGTTCTCAGCTATGCTGAAGTGCCTGCAGCACTTCATTGGCCCCCATGCTGCTCTGCTCCTGCCCCTCCCCTCTTCCCCTGCACCTGCCTGGGTCCTGCTGCAAGGGCTGCTGGGAACCGAGGCCCCCTATGAAGGGGTTTGGCTTGCCTCATTTTCACAGATGAGAAACGGGCTGGGATTCAAGGGCTGTTCTTGTCTGCGTGGCCTGTCAGGCTCGGGTCCCTGGGGGGTGACAGCAGTGAATTCACTGGCCAGTCTCCTCTCTGTCTTCCTAGGGGCCGCACAGTCCCCAGGCCCTGACATCAGGCTTCTGGTGTGGCAGAGCCAGCCCTGGAGGTCGCAGCGAGCTCCCTGCCAGGGCAGTTGGGGACCTGCTGGGACAGCGGAGTACGGGTGCCCTAGGAGCCCGGCCACTGCTCACTGTGCTTGGGCCCGCAGGCGCTGCTGCTGCTGGGGGCGGCCGCGCTGGCCTGCCTGGCCCTGGACCTCCTCTTCCTGCTCTTCTACTCCTTCTGGCTGTGCTGCAGGCGGCGAAAAAGTGACGAGCACCTGGAAGCTGACTGCTGCTGCACGGCCTGGTGCGTCATCATCGCCACACTGGTGTGCAGGTGAGTGGGGCGGGGCCTCGGGGGCGTGCAGGTGAGCGGGGCGGGGCCTCGGGGCGTGCGGGTGAGCGGGGCGGGGCCTCGGGGGCGTGCAGGTGAGTGGGGCGGGGCCTCGGGGGCGTGCAGGTGAGTGGGGCCGGGCCAGGCCAGTGATGGAGTGTCATGTCAGGTGGGTGGGGAACCGTGGGTGGTGCCAGGGAGGGGTGGAGGCATTGATGGGGCAAGACAGACAGATTGGGGCGTTATATAGTGGGTGGGGTGAAGGGAGTGGGACCCCGCAGCCAGTGGGGTGATTCCTGGACTTCGTGTGCTGCTCTCCAGAACCCCCCTGCCCCCTGTGTCTGCCAGGCTGGCTCAGGCAACCCCAAGATCGAGCTAGGGAGAGCGTGCAGTGCCTAAGCACAGTCTTAACTAATCAACCTGGGGCCTCCCCAGGGTCTGTGGAGGCTCCGCACCTCCACCATGGCCTTAAAGTAACCAAGCAGGCAGGTGAGGCAGGTGTGGGCCCTCACTTGCCCTCGCCCTCCATTGCCAGTGCGGGCATCGCTGTGGGGTTCTATGGTAACGGGGAGACCAGCGATGGCATCCACCGGGCCACCTATTCACTCCGCCATGCCAACCGCACGGTGACTGGGGTCCAGGACCGGGTGAGTGTGTTCCGGGATGGCCAGAGACTGGGTGGTTTGCTCCTAGGAGGTGGGGGCTCCCCTGAGGGTGGTGTGCACCCTCCCCTGCCCTTCTTGTGGATGGCGCCCCTCACCCTGCACCCTCCCAGGTGTGGGACACCGCAGCGGCCCTGAACCGCACGGCTGAACCCAGCCTGCAGAGCCTGGAGCTGCAGCTGGCAGGGCGGCCGGAGCCCCTGCGGTCTGTGCAGCGGCTCCAGGGCCTGCTTGGGACCCTGCTGACCTACACGGCTGCCATTCCCTTCTGGAGGAACCCGGCTGTGTCGCTGGAGGGGCTGGCTGAGCTCGTGGACCTCTACGACTGGTACAGGTGGGCGGCGTCACTGCCCCAGCCCCGGTTTTCCGCTCACCTGGGTGTAGGCTGCTGCTGCCCAGCAAGTAGAGGCCGAGGGCTTGTGGGTTTGAAGGGACCAGGGTAAAGGGAGGGGTGGTCCCACCTTCAGATGTCTTTTTAAAGAACAGACCAACTTCCGCCTCTCCCTTCAATCCCAGAGTGGGTGTCTGATGCCCCTCCTGGCTCTGGCCCTGTCCCACCCCACTCACTTCCTGAGGGAGGCCCCGCCCCCGCCCACACCTCTGAACCCGCCCACACCCGTGATTGCACGCCTCCCAGCCTCCCTGCTCAGGCCCCGCCTCACCCCCTGTTGCTGCAGGTGGCTGGGCTACCTGGGCCTGCTGCTGCTGGACGTCATCATCTGCCTCTTGGTGCTGGTGGGGCTTATCCGCAGCTCCAAGGGCACGCTGGTTGGGTGAGTCAGGCGGCTGCTCCCTGAGGGGCGAGCCGTCACAGGGCCGACGGTGATCCGCCCTGAGTAGGGGTCCTAGGGGACGAGGCACTGCCCTGTGGCCAGTGGTGCTCTCAAGGCCCAACCCGCCCTCAAACTTACCCCTCTCTCAGGGCACAGGGTTAGAGGGAGGCGTGGGCAGTGTGCCTCCCTGCACGCTTGAACCTCTATGTCCAGTGTTCCGTGGGCTGAGACGGGGTAGGCTGGTCGCTTCAAGAGAGCAGATGAGATGAACAGGAAGCACAGGGTAGGAGCCTCCCTGGGAGAGTGGGAGGTGGGGTAATGGGAAGACACAGGACAAGGGTGTGTGGCCATAGTGTGCTGCATTAGAAGAGGGGTGTCGGGTACAGAGTGACCAGAGAAGCAGTGCCTGACCAAACAGGTATTGGTGGAGGGACCAGGTAAGGCCCACTCTGGGGAACACAGCTGGGTGGTCAGCTGTCTCCTGACGTAGGATTTGGCCAGTGGAGCTAGGGGATATGGGGTCAGATGTGAGGGTCAGCAGCTTATGCTGTGCCAAGGCCAGACCCCAGATGTGCCTTGGGCCCCAGCTGATCTGTCTCCAGCCTGGGGTGCTGACCCCTGACCACTCTCTCTGCTCCAAGGGTCTGCCTACTGGGGGTGCTGGCCCTTGTCCTCAGCTGGGCCTCGCTGGGCTTGGAGCTGGCTGTGTCTGTGGTGAGTGCCTGCTGTGAGGGAGGGCTGCCCCACCCCTCAGCGCTCCCCCCCCCATTTTTCCTGGGGCCACAGCAGAACTGAGGGGCAGGAACACCCAGCAAGCCAGGCCCCCTTCCCTAAGCAGCAGCAGCGCCCTGGGATGTAGGTTTTCTAAGACCTGAGGGACATGAGGATGGTGTCCCACAGAGACAATTTGGGTTACCCCATCTTCCTCACCTGCCCTCAGGGCTCCAGTGATTTCTGCGTAGACCCGGACACCTTCGTGACCAGGATGGTGGAGGAGTACTCAGTGCTCAGTGAGGGTGAGTGGGGCCAAGAAGAGGTATGATGGAGCTGGAAGCAGGAGGGAGGGGCTGAGCCACGTGGTTCCCTGCAGTCCAGCCGCCCACGTGACCTCTACAGCTTACAGAGGGCCCCTACAGTCAACAAAGAACCCACTGCAGTCCACAAAGAACCCACTGCAGTCCACATAGGGCCCCTCTACCGTCCACATAGGACCCTACAGTCCACATAGGACCTCCTACAGTCCACATAGGTCCCTATAGTCCACATAGGCCCCTATAGTCCACATAGGACCCCCTACAGTCCACATAGGACCCCCTACAGTCCACATAGGCCCCTACAGTCCACATAGGTCCCCTACAGTCCACATAGGCTCCTACAGTCCACATAGGCCCCTACAGTCCACATAGG